TTGTCTTATTAAGTATTCTTCAGAAGTTCATGCACTTGGAATCTTCTGCTAGGAAATACCGTGTTGGCTGTCCCTTTGCCTTCTCTTTCTGAGAGATTTTTGAGATCAAAAAGGAGAGGATGAAATTAACACAGCATTACCTCATGACAGACCTGCCTGGAATGTCATTCTTATTAAAACAAAATAACATTTACACTGAAGATATCAGATATCACTCAAGGTACAAAAGGATTTCAGCCTCCACTAACTGTGGAGAAGAAAAATATCTGGAATTGCATTAGGAGAGAAAGTAACACACATCACTGGACTGCTGAAGAGTAGGAAGTTTAGCTATGACAGTTTCATGGAAGATAAAAATGATAGTATATCAGTGTCTTGGTTTCAACAGGGACAGAGTTAGAATGGTACAACCATTAAGGCTGGAAAAGACTCCTGAGGCCCTTGAGTTCAACCACTAGCCCAGCACCACTGAGCTCACCATTAAACCCTTTTCCCAGTGCCACATCCACACAGCTCTTGCCCACTCCAGGTATGGCGATTCCACTGGGCAGCCTGTTCCCATACCTGACCACCCTTTGAGAAGAAATTTTTCCTAATATTCAATCTAACCCTCCCTGACACAACTTCAGGCTGTTTCCTCTCATCCTGTTAGTTGTTAGCTGGGGAAAAAGTCCAACCCCCAGCTGGCTCCACTCTCCCTTAAGGAGCTACAGAGTGATACTGTCCCCCTTGAGCCTCCTTTTCTCCAGGCTGAGCCCCTCCAGCTCCCTCAGCAGCTCCTCCTCAGACCTGAACTTGGTGGAGTTCAGCTCAGAACAGAGGCTTTTGAATGTGGCATCACTGCCCTTGAACATCCCCAAAGCCTTTTCATAACAAGTTTTCTTCAGAGCTGAAAACTAAACAACAGACTCAGAATATTTCAACTATAAACCCATCACTGGTAACTCCCAAAAAAAAGTTCCAGCTGTTGAGATGCTTTTCTAAAGGAATGGTGTTCACTTTCCTTGGAATGCTGTTCCTCAGTTTCTGCTTTACAATCCCCAGTGTGCCTCATCAGAAAGCAAAGAGCAGCTGGGTGTGTGCAGGTGCAGAATGAGGTCTCACAGGGAAAAACATCTCTCAAAACAGAGTATTTATTTTCAATATTCAGGTCTAATAATAAAATGGATTACATTTTTAAATAATCTAAAAGAAATTAAAATAAAATAAATTTGGTCCTATAAAACACTCTGTTAACCTACATTAGAATAACCCAACTTAACTACAGCTCCAAAACCTGTCAGTTCAGTTTCCCTAAGGCTGGATCAAGCAATTGATGACTGCAAACCCACACAGATTATCTGTGCTAGTGCCAGAGCCAGCCCAGGGAACAGAAGGGAAGCAGATCACCTCTGTCAGGAGGAATTTCTGTGCTGCTTTAAGGTTATCATTAGCAAGACTCAAAAATCTATGTTGTTCTAAATATAAATGTGAGGAGACATTGGGTGGTTCTCAGAGGAGTGTGTAGATGTATAAAGATTGCCACAAGTGAGGGCATCTTGATCCTTGTATATTCTCATCAGTGTTGGTCAAAACCAAAATCCCAGCATACTTCATATGTGGATGTGTCCTACTTCCCTGAACCAGGAGTTAGCTTTCCTTTTGTTTGTCAGAGGATGTATTTCCTCACATAACGAGGCAGGTCACTTATCTATCAAAATGAAAACACAGACATTTGAGAGAACATACAACAAATTCTCATTATTTACTACAAATATATAAACTGAAATGAAATCAAATTGAATAACTTGACTACATGAAAATTATGAAACAGTTTGTATTTTATACACAGCGTATGTACACTGGTTTTGGAAATGTGGGGTTTATCCATGCAAATTTAATACAAAACACTATTTACAAAACCAAAATAACAGTAAGAACATTTTTCAAAAGAAACATGTTGGAAGCTCCAGCAATAATGGAAATCCTGAAAAAAGGCTTAATACAGTATAGTACAAGTAGACAATCTTCAAAAGTATGAAAGATGCACTTTACAAGAACATGAAATGCAAAATCAATTGAAATGCACTATCAAAAACTTTGCAAGTATATACACAATCTGAGCATCTGTTTTTAATGATAACTCTCCTGCTGTGCCCTCAGAACTACTTTTGCCACATCCTGCACACATTTACATGTTGACCATCTGGTTACATTGCATCTTCTGAGTTTTATAACCACAAGTTACAAAATAAAATAACCGAATACCAACTGAATGATAGTTGTAAAGCAATCACATTTTCATTGTTCTAGACATTCCACAATAGTAAAAAGTATTCACATTACTCCCAATGTATTCCACCAACCCACCCTCTTTCCTACACCTGTGTGTGCTCCTCCTGGGAATGTCAGCCTTGCCTTGCTGCTGGTGCCACAGCCAAGAGCAGCTACAGCCAGGAATTTGCTTCAGGTATCACATCCCTTCAGCAAACACAACTGCATCAGCAGCTCCACGTGAGGAGCACAGTCCTGCACAGCTTCAGAATACAAATTAATACTAAACAGCTACTGCAAGTTCCCATGCCAGGTATGGCACAATGAAACCCTACACAAATATTATAGTCATTTTGGAAATATTTCACTGGTTCACTCATTTTAAAATGAAACAAAGCAAAAAGGTATCCTTGTGGCCTTTCCAAATATTCTCTATTTTACAATCTGCCTTCATAAAACTATGATGGAAAAAGTTATGTTTGCCTTATTTCACTTAACTTTGAATGAAGTGAGGAAATCCTCCTTAGTGCTAAGAATTTACTGTAAATGACTGAGTTTATGCAGTAACTGAGCTACAAAACTCTGGAGGGAAATTCTGGTCTCACTGAAGCCTTACAATCACAGACTTATTTAGGTTGGAAGAGACTTTAAATGGATCAAGTTCAACTGCAAATTTAACACTGCCAAAACCAAAGTTTTTCCAAAACAATTTAATTGCTGTCAGTCCGAGCCGTCCTTTTCCTTTAGAATTTCCTAAGATACTAGAGTAGCCATGGAAAAACATTTTGGTTTTTGCTTGTTTTAAGATTAGGATTCTAAAAATGTAAAAAAACACTCTAAAAATTCTTTTTTGAAAATGCAATTAGCTATATATAATTTGAACTAAAAATGATAGATTAGATGTCGTTTCATGACAACTGCTGTGCCTTACCTAAAAGTGACCAAGCAGCTTGCAGAAATTTTGCTGCCCTTTGTCTCTCATGCTGAAAAAATAATGGTCAAATCCAATGAGGGAACGAACACTTCATATAACCACAATTTTAAGATAGTATGTTAGCAAAATTGTACTATGCAAAATACTTAAAGACAAAGCAAAGGGCATTTTATTATGTAACAAACACAGGAGCCAAAACTGCTTCTGTGCAGTGACAAGTTTAAACTAAAATTCAATTAATCATATTGAATTAATCATATATTCTCTAAGCAGTGAAGATCAGCAGAATTTTTCTTCATATTTTCCAAAACAAACCTGTACCATAGCATATCATTAAGAACAGAATTCACCTGTCCCTCTGTCTGTAAATGAATGACACATGACCCGGTGTGTGGCATATGGAACAAACTCAGCAATACTGCTTGCATTCCCTTCTGGAAGGGCATGAGGGCCACATTGACCAGTTCACAGCCAGGATGCCATTTTCAGTCAGGAAAGGTCTGCAATTCCCACAGCAAAAGCATCCTCTGCCTCACTACATCACCCACTGCTGGGGAAAGTTAAATATTCCTGAATATCTATTAGTGATTACTGTCAAATTATCACTAGGTGGTTTTGCTCAGGTTGCAGCATCTCTTTAAGAGCAAGGAGGTGTTTTTGTCAGCAGTTGTCCTGCACAGCCTCACTGGCCCAAAAGCAGGGGAGCACAAGTGGCACGTGCCAGGTCCCCTGCCCAGGGCTGGGCACAGGCAGTGCCCCCTGCACCATCAGCCACGCTTGCTGCAGCACTGGCACAAAGCTGTCTAAACCCAAGAGGCTCTGGGAACACAAAGCTGGCAAATCTCTTGTTGTTCTAAGCTCTGCTGAAAGCTCCACACACGCCAGGGTCCTCATCCCTTGGCTACAAAACACATCCCCCCTCTTTACTGAGCCTGAAGTGATTCACTGTGAAATCAATTCAGAGCACTCTCTGCTTGGACAACTCTACTTTGCCTTTCCCATTGCTGGTCTTAATTCCAAATTGTGTGTGTTGGGGTGTGTTTATTTACTTTTGCTTTTCAAGTAGAGATTCTCTAACAGAAACACAGACATTAGCTTGATTTGGTGAGGGAAAAGTGACATTTGATTTACCACATCTCCTATCTGCAGAAGGGCTAAGAACTCCCACAGGTTGCTTTCAGCTGAAATGAGTGGCATTAGCCTTTCAAATAAACACTTAAGGAATAATCAGCAGAGGGAAGAAGTGCCAGACCTTTGTCCTTCTCTTCAGTACCAACATGACATATGAAAGTTCCATTTTAGTGAAAATAAATATCTTTGTTTTTGTTTGGATTTAGCTACAGATTTATGTCAAAATCTGATGAGACTGCCACTAAATGATACAGTATTTCAAATGAAGTTTTTAGTGCAGTAAACACCTACTGGCTGTCCTCACCTACAATTTTACTGAGGTAACAACACCTTCCCACCTCACTTCAATGTAATTTTTCCTTCCATCTAAATACTGTTTGGCTTATCAGAAGTTTTTTATTAAATGAATCCATGTAACATTTTACAACTTCATTTGACTTACCAGAGATCACTATTTTAGTCAAGAAACTGACACTAAAGTTTGCTAGTGCCAAAGAAGTTTAAGCCATGTGTGCTATGGTCTCCAGCTCAGGTGTTCCACAAATTAAAAAGGTGAGAATCTACTGAAGTCAAGGGTAAAACCTGCCTTGACTTCAGTAAAGCCTAGAATTTAAAAAAAAAATTATTATTCATTTAAATTTGTTTATTTTTTCAAATCCATTCTTCCCTATCTCAGTAAAGCCTAGAATTAAAAAAAAAAAAAAAATATTATTCATTTAAATTTGTTTATTTTTTCAAATCCATTCTTCCCTATTTTATGTTCATAGTTCTTGGTTAGATTTTGGAATTTAGCTCCAGATCAGGGGTCTGGATGGTTTCTGCATCCCCAGCAGTGCCCCACTGAGCACAGTGGATTAGCAGTGCTGGAGAACAGATGAAAAGCATTTCTGAGATACTCTCTGGGAAGACATCACACTTCACAACAATTATTTTATTGTCACTGCTTTAAGACCTCACCATATCTGGGACATTATTGCTCAAGTGAAAGATCAGTCACATGTGACATACTGCATGCAGTGACATAAAACACAGAAAAAATACACAAGGCCAGAAGCCCTGTCACTATGCTGATCCACTCTGTAATTTACAGTTCATGCCACATTATTGCAAAGTTTATTAGGAAAACTTAATGCACCTTCCTAAAGCTTTTAATGATGACTTTTCAAGTTGTAAGTGGAAAAAGAGTGCAACAGGAACTGAGCAGGCCTGTTTTTACCTACCCTATCAGCTGTATCAAGTATTAAATAATGGCATCATATCCTAAACAAAACTGAAAATGGGTATCTCAAACACTGGAAATGTTTGGAGCAAGGATTCTGGAATCACAGTGGTTTACCAGTGCCACTGGAACAATTTCTTAAACAAATTCAAGAGGAAGAAGGGAAGTGGCCCAGAGTGACCAACAACCTGAATGCACTAGATCTGAGAATGAACAAAGATAAGTAAGATGCTGGGAATCAAAAGGAAAGGGGAAAGGAGTAGAGTATATGCAAATTCTTGTACAGGAATGACACAACTATCTCCACAGGCTACCTGGAAATAAACTTCAAATTCAAGTCTTTTTAGCATCATTTTTGAAATTGATGTTAAATCACAATGGATACAAGCCAATGTTAGCAAGGCTTTAGATTATTATTAGTAGTAGTAGTAAATGAAGTTAGTGATGAGAAAAAGTTTCATCCACAGAGGATCTTTTCTCAGACTGCTCCTAAGGGTACTTGAAGGCTTTAATCTTTGCATGGTAAAAGAGAAGCCTTGGAAGAATCATAATTATCCTCCTCCATAAGCAAGAAGGCAGCCATAATAATTTCCAAGGAATGGCAAAGCAAGACTGTTGGTGGCAAGTCTGTGGGGGAAGAACTGCAGAGTACAAAAAAAACCCCAAAACCAAGTTGTTTTAGTAGATTTCAGTTTAAAATGAGTACTTAAGTTTCGTATCCAGTTTTCAACTTACTAAGGAGTTTGAAAAACCCCTTAGTAGTCAGCAGCTGCCATGCTACATCAAGGGAATTCTTAATGTTTACATTGTGATGTAACTTAATAAAATTAGTTCAAGAAGGAAAAATGTTACCTTAAGCACAGAAAATGTTTTAAAATATGGCAAGGAAATAGTGGAGATCACTTTTCAGATAACAAAGTGATAATTTGTAGTTAGCACTTCCATGGCTAACACTGAACTAGAACTTTGCTCTGGTAGTAGCAACAACAGGGAAATCAAAGACAAGGACTTATTCTTTTTGAGTGGCTGGGTTTTTTAGGTGTAGCAGGCAAACATTTTGCTTAGTGAATTATAAGTTTTTCTTTAGTTTTTACATGACTTTTCAAATAGTGCCATTAATGAAAATAGAGACTGAAGTTGTTAAAATAACCATTCAAAAAGATACAAAAACCAATTAGAGACAGATTTGAAATACAATATTTCAAACGTCAAAGCAATCCAGTTTCCTTAAACACGTATTTATCTAACCTAAGATTTATATCTATGACTTTTCAAAGTAATTTATACACCAGCCTCTCCATAAGCTGTGTTTTAAGACAACACTATATGAACAATAGTGGATTTTAGCTATTACATTTACACAAACTTGTTTCAATGGATTTAAAAATAAGTGGTATTTTTAAACTTACCAGAAAAAGGTTATTTTTCCTGTCAGCTATTGCCTATAAGACTACAGTACAATAGACAATACTCCTTCCCCATTCTTTTATGAATTATCTTACACAGGGTCTTGGTCAATTGGAAAGAACGGAATCAAATCTTGTCACATGCCTGGCAAACATATCCCTCAACTGAAAATAACTTAGCCTGAAATAGAAAATCTGTGGCAGTCAAAACATTTTTCTTTAATTGAGCTACCTATTCATGAATAACAAACTAATACAAACAGATGTACTACCAAAATGATGAAATTATTTGCAAGTTGTTTGGAGAAGAACTCAACTGTGTATGATTCAACACACCAAGAATTTGTTCAGAAGCAAACAAATACATCAACTCAGAAGTTTCAAAAGAACACCACAATGGAAATGTTTCGTTTTCACATTTATCCATCGATCCAATGTCTCAGCACAGTGACATTTGTAGAAACTGACCTGTGTGCTAATGCAACACTCACGTAAATTACACATTAAACCCTGCAAACACTAAAAAGATAAACACTGATACTTCCCAGCTAAATTATGGATATACCTGTTGTAAAAATGTCATGTGAGATCAGGAGCAATATTACACAAAATCCTGAACATCACAGCGTAAACCTGAGATTTTGGCAGTTTTATCAAAATGTCCTAAATTACTCTGTATGAATCACTAGTCCTCATGTCTTATTCATCATGTGTATTTGTTTGTCCCAAAGAAAAAAAAGTAGACAACTTTTTTTTTGTCCAACAATACAATAAATCAAAAGTAATTAGGTATTATCAAATTAAATAGCATAAATAAAAAGTATTTACAGTATTTTCTAATTATTAGACAACAATTAAATTGTGCAACAAACTTAAAACACCCAACATCAAAAATGTGAAGTATTACTTAAATCTTCACATACTGATTTTACAAAAAAACTATTAAAATATTAAAAAATTTCCATTTTATCTATTTTAAACAAAGAAACTTCAAAAATGTTTAAGACTATTAAGAGTTATCAATTACACAGGCACTTCACAGGTAAACAATCTACAGTACAACTGAAAAAAAATATTTGGCACCAACCTAGAAGACTGGAAAAACTCAATAAACTGTGTCCTTTTCTCACTGTATCCTGTTCTGTGTAATCACCAGACACTCACACTCAATACTGGCAATGTTAGAAGTGCGTAAGTTACAATCAGGAGTGCAAAAAACAAAGAACGCAAATATTAAGCTTTCAGAGAGTGAAAGGGGATTACAAGTGATCAGTTGCTCACATTTTTACCATCATACCATCGCTACATTTTTGACTCATCTTTAAATCAAATGATTGACTCAAAAAATTAAAGTGACGGGGGGTGTGCTTTGTACTTTCAAAAGTAACTCAAACAACATTTTCAATGTAAAAAAAGAAATCCAGCATTTAACTCTAACACTGAGATGTTAAATGGCAGCTTTTAACTTAACTGGAAAGAGAACCTGATGCTACCAGATTCTCTTAGTACATCCAATTACAAAAGAAAAAAAAAGAATAGTTATGTTCTTTTAACTGTGAACTGACTCCAAGGTTTTCACACACAGCTCCAAAGTAAGGCTCTCTACAGCATCTGGACAGGTTTTAGTTTTTGATGGCTTGGGTGTTCCCGTGTAGGAGACTGAAATGCCTCAGAGCAATCCATAACAGAGCAATGGGAAGCTGTCTAGCTGCCAAGAAGTCATGTCACATGGAAGAAAGCTGAGATACTTTCAATGCAGGCAACTCAAGCAGGGCTTGAACTGTGAGGCCAACCTTCACCAGACCCCTTTCCTCCAGAATGTGATGAGGCAAGCAAAGTCTCTCCTGCAAAAGAACACAGGACATTTAACCAGTTCCATGCCTTTGTCCCCAGGGCAGGTAACAAACACATTCTCTGAAGCCACACACATGTCAGGAAGACACTTGCAGAGAAAACACCTTAGGCCTTAAATGTCCCTGTGCCTCTCTACAGCAACAGGATGGGCAGAAACTTGTTATAGTTAGGATCTGTTTGAAGTGTTAAACTATGACAATGTCAGAAAAGACAAAAAAGACTGTTAAATTCTTAAAGTAAAGTAAAGCACTTTCTTTTCGTAAGCAGAGTCAGAAAAACAAGCTGGTGGGTGCTGTTGGCTCAGTGGCCTTCTTCCCCCTTCCCCTGTTTTGCAAAGTTATTACCAATCTTTGCCTTGGGATAACTTAGAAGAGCTGACAGACTCAATAATGAACCATTCTCCAAGAAAGTCATCATTCAGTCTCAAAATTCAGCACAAGCTGGACAGTCCTCTCAGCTGCCAGCTGGTGTTACAAATAATTCACAAGGTAAATCTGAGCACCTCTAGCTTCTGAATGGCCTGTGGCTCCACATGAGGCAGAAGCCATGGCAGAGCAGTAAACCCAGCTTCTAAATCTATCAACTAATTTACTTCTTGCACTAAAGAAGATCAAGGCAATTTTCTGTCTTATAATATGCAGGAAATTATTTATTTTTTAGGTTTTTTTCCCCCTCATAAAAGGAGGTAAGAGGATACACTTGGCCAACAGAAGCACAAGTAATGGGCTGCAACTACAGCCATGCTAAAAAAGACAGTCAGTCATTCAGACTACAGATTTCTGTAAGTGTAGAGTATTTCCTAGGCAGCCTGAATTCATGCCAAAATGAGTTGCTAAACTCAAGACTTTCAAGTAATAAAACATTACCCTCTCAAGTCCGTTCCTTTGGTTAGATGACAATATATTTTACAAGGAGGTCAGTGGTTTTTTTACTATTAAGAACTGACTAGAAACCCATAAAATAGCTTCTTCAAGTTCACCCCATAAGCCTGGAATGGAATTTCTGTTCAGATCTTCAAGTCCCCTGGTCAGTGTCATAATCACTATTGCTCCCTAAATAAAGCTCCCCTCACCCCCCAAACTCAGTATTTGCTGACGTTTTCCATAGTTATTAATAAATCAATAAAGCAATTAGTGTACCTGTGGAACGCCCAATTTTTTACAAGCATCAAGAAAGTTTTCAACATTTCTTCGGCACTTTGCCATGCTGAGTTTAGGCTGTGAAGACAGGATATTAAATCTTCATCAGACATTCCTGAAGGAGTGCATATTTCTGATGTAAATTCACTTACAGTTACTAAAGCACAAGACACATTCTATGAAGACTCAGTATGAGGAAAATAGCTCTTAAACTAAACTTCTGAGCCTCACTTAATGCTTCTTCCAAGAAAAACCTACATGAGTAATGTAGCAAATCAATGCGGTAAACATGAGTCACAAATGTTTAATATTGAAATTCAAAAGCTTCTTTTCATGTAAGATGTACCAAAAATGAGATAAATGATTTGTGCCTTACCACTGCTGGCGATGGGACGTGAATGCTGGCAACAGAACGTGGCCTTATGTGATTGGCTAAATGGCAAAGAACCACCCCATCCATCAACGCTGCTCCAATGTCATCTGGCAAAATTACCTTCAACCTGGATTCAAGGTTCTAGGAAAAGGGCCATAAGTAAGTTACTCTCAACATTAGCTGTTTTTTCATTTTAAAAGCAGGGTATTTTAAAGCATGTAGATGTTTAAAAGGAACATTTTAATACTGAAGTGAAATAAACAGAGTAAATTTACGCCTTACTCAGTATAAACATCCTTTTCTCCTTACAGGCCTTGCGTTCCTTTTGTTTGTATTGCTGGGTTTTTCATGTGTTTTATGTTATTTTGTGGGGTTTTTTAAAATGACACAACAACATACATCGAGAAAGATATTCTGCCAACAATGACTAGAATACACAGCTCTCAAGCCCATGTAACAAACTCGCTGCTCGTAACAGGAAAGCACAGAACTGAAGGATAGAACTGTTATGCTGAATATGTGATCAGTGCTTAGTGGGCAGAATCTGTGAGTTGAAACCATACAGGATTTTATGAGAAAGAGGAAAATAAAAAGAAGGGAACAAAACTGGGAAAAGTTGTTTTGCAAAACAGAGAAGGCAACCAATGTTTTTTCCCGCCCCAACAAGACTTCACTGTTCAGGAAGTGAACAGACAAACATCCTTCACAGAAGTTACACCACAAATCAGCACTGCCCTGAAAAGCAAAGCAGCTATGATTTAGTTTACTCTAACTGCTAAATGCCTTGAAAACAGAACTACACAAAAAACAATTTACTAGAAATCTGAAACGTAGATCCCATTCAGGATTATGAAATTTGTAGCAACTTTCTACACTCAAAAAGCCTTCGGTCATTTAGAAAGCAATAATAATTTTTCTTCAGATCTCAGGTCAAACAATAGCAAACACAAGCAGATTTATTGTGGCCCTAGAAAATTTAAAACCTCAGAAAAAAAATTCATTTCACTTTCTTTTTAGAAAGAAAACAACCCCAACTAATTCCCAGTTGGTATTTTGGTTGGACCCAAACAAGTACCAGCGCAGCCTGTTACATGAAATTCCTTAGGAACAAATACCACTACAGGGATGCCCTTGTACCACTGCAACAACTTGGAGGCCTTTAAAATGAAGATTTAAATTGTGGAACAGAGCAAACCAAATGCACTGTACCCATATGGTGAATGATGGTACCTACACTGCGAAGCTGTCTGATTTGTTCCCTCTCTTCCCTTAAATGTTCCATTTTCCTCCTCATAGTGAACCCAGGATCCAGTGCACCATAGTCCTGGCGTGAGGCACGGCTGAAAGCTGTCAAACATGAGGGAAGTCAGTCAGAATTCAGATGGAAAACATTCCAAAATTAAAGATGTATAACTGAGGATAAAAACAGGAAAAAACTGAAGAACTTTTAAGAACAAATATATTTAAGCATCCTGCTAGAAAAGATGCTGCCTATGAAACATTTTTCAAATAAAATGCAGAGATCATCAGACTTAAGTGTAAGTGGATAATTAGAAAATAAGGAGACTGAACTGACTTCAATATTGAACTATCAGTATGGGACATACAACTCCATCAGCACTTCTTCCAGAATCTCAATCTAGCTTTTTAAGTATTTGCATGTTTTACTTTAAATCAAGTATAAAGCCTTTAAGCCATCAAACCTCAAGAACAATTGTCTACTGTTTCCCTGTTCTTTGACAGTGACTAAGTATGCACAAAATAAAGAAGCGGGGAAAAAAACTTTAAAAAAAACCAACCCTCCAAAAAAATCTCAAACAAATCACTCTGCAACTTGAGGAGCTTCCAATTATCTGTTTGCCAAAGCAGCTGTCTGTGCCTTTCCCAGTGCTCTGCAGTGATAAGTAAATTGAGTGAACTGCTGTACTGTGACATCTGCTATGCTTACTGCCTCTTGCAGCCTGGGAAATAAATACACCGTGTTAGAGAACAGCAGCTTACCTGACCTTGGTTTGAGACCAAATGGACCATGAGTGTTACTATCTGTCCTTTCACAATCCTGTTAAAAGAGATGAAATCAGTTTTCTTCCACTCATTAAAAGAAATAACTTTTGTTCCCATTAGGATACTGTTTAAATTATTCTTGCCTAAGGAGAGTCCTTCTGCTTAACTGTAAAAGTCTTTTGAGGAGGACAATGTAAAATAAATTGAATGAATGTAACCTTACTACATATAGATAAAACTGTCATAATAAGAAAGAAAAGTAGCACCAGATTATCTAAAATGTATTGCAAAATATTTCAAACTACTGCAAACTATTCTGTGAACAGAGTTTAAGCCAGCTGTAAGCCAATGCAAATGCAAGTGCAAATATTCTCCCAATGTTTAGCATCAAAACATTTCTTAAGAAATATCTACTTCCAGCTATGAAGATCAGGTTTTTCTCATTTCACCATCTGAAAAGACATATGCACTCAATATCTTGGTATGTACAAGAGATACCCTTGTTTCATTCCAGTGTATTCTAGGAGAGGTTTCAATTCGTCTCTCTCAGGCTCCTCACTAACATGAGGTAGAAATGTTAATAATACTTGCTTTATTTTGATTTAAGCAGTGCAGTGCTCTCCCAGTGAGGTTCCATGCACAGCCACCCCTGAATGAAGCTGGAAGGCTGCACCACAAAGGTGATACCCAGGACTGAGAAGGATTAAAGTACTTGAGAAGTTTCACCACTTTTGGGTTTCTGGTGAAATATACAGCACTAAACCATAAACTTCAAATCCTCTCAGTGACCACATGCCCTGAAGAGCAGTATTCCTTAGGAAGGCCTATCAAATATGGCAAATTTGGTTTTTGTTTCATTAGTATTTTCATTAGGAAAAATAATGGAGACAAAGCAATGCACCTTTCCTCACAGCAGTCAAAAAGAAGAACTTTAGAGGAGACCAGAGTTGCAAAGGTAAAACAAGTTGTAATATCTGTCTCTAGTTTCTATCTCTTTTTGAATTTTTATTATGATTACATACTTCTAATGGTAATTTCAAAGGAAACAAACAGCTTTGTATCTGCATGGAAACCTGGTGACAGCAATGAACACAAAGAAATGTTTGTTGAATGAAAAACAAACCCACAAACTTGTACCTCAGACGACACAGGAGACTGTGGAGACACATTAGTATTATCACTGTCTTGCTAAAAAGAAATCAAAAAGATGAAATTATAAAAATGAAAATGATGATTTAACAAGAAACATGAAATTATGAAATCCATGAGTCATGTAACATTTATCAAGTATGCTACAAACTGGCAGCAACTAAATTTAAAATATGTAAGGCAACAAACCACTGTTCGCTGTTTATACCAAATATTAGTTTTACATCACCTCTGTTTGATAGGTGAATTAATTTTGCTATTACCAAAGCAAGCAAACATCCTACTGTTCCCCAGCAGGCAATCATGACATTTTTTTCAAATAAAGGAGTATAATAATTATTTCTGCTATGGCTTTGGAATGCAAAGTTAATTTGTTCAAAAAAGACAAGAGAATAAATTTATTTCGTAATATTTCACACAATTACTACATCTCACCTCATCATTTTCATTTCCACTTGAACTCTTTCTGGAAGACTTATACTGCAAAACACACACAATTATTACTTTAAAATGAAAGCATGGTTTTCATTTGAACTAAAAGGCTTGCTTTCACTCAGATGTTACTTATTACTAATGAAGCTGCTGAGAGAAAAGGCCATGTTACAGAAACAAAGGAACAAAAAGAAACAAACCAGAAAAGAACATGACATTTCTAGGCAAGACAAGATCTTCATTAGCTGAAGAGATAAGTGCATTTTAAAACTAAACACTTGTATAGTATGAACTCTGCATGTGACAGCTGATCCAAATGAAAAGATCTTAACAACTGCTAACACAAAGCATTATTTCTTAGAAAAAAATTATGCAACCTGTGAAAAGTGCTTTTGTAATATGTTTTATGTGACTAAGATTGCTTACACTTCAGGAGATTGACTTGACATTGCAAAAAAATTAGATTAAAAAAGATTAAGGCTGCCTTTAAAACTTCAAAGTCTGATCACATCCTTTTATGTATTTAAGACAATGCTTTACCCACAGGTCTGTCTGATTTGCTGTGTGCTGCCTTCAGCACTGTCCCACTTCCCTGATTATGCAGAAAGTGGAGACAATTAAGGAAGAACTGAACGAAAAAAGTTTACAATAGTGGCATTTAAAAAAATAAATTTATTTAATTGTCTACAGATCAAGTGTACTAAAAAGTAGAGAAGGCCCATGCAGATCAAATTAAAGAGATCATCACTGCAAAAGTCTAAGTTTGTGGGGTGTATGTGGCCAGGCTACTCTTCATGATGTCACAAAAATGCAGGCTGAGCAAGAGACAACTGTATTATCACTGTTTTCTCACAACAGCACTGGTGCCTATTTTTTTCCCAGTTTGCCGTGGCAAATAGGCTCTGTTTCAGTGGCTTACTGCCTCGGTTTTGTACATGAAACTATGAAACAGTGTCTTTTGTTACTGCTACAGGCTGTTTAATTCACTGAAGAGACCCATCCAGAGCTGTATATAATATGATTTCAGGCATCTGCTTTCATCACAGAGCTCACAGCTGACTGGGAAGTTATGAGGAACCACTTCTGTATTGGTAGCACAGCTCTTTAACCAGGCAAACCACTGAATTCTCTTTTACTGAGAGGTTTCTATCTCTTTCTCCTTCAATGCTACAGCAAAAATTAATTTCAGGATAAAAACCCTGGAAAGAGGATACAACTCCACAATCTCTTCAGGAAAAAAAAAGTCTTCTATAATTACAACAATATATCTGAGATGTATGGCATGCTCTGTTCTCCCAAGAATTTCATTTCTTTGAAGTTCCTTGGCATTTCACAAAGATGTTTGATGGCGAAGACCCAAGAAACTAATTTCATAAGTGACAAATTTAATTCTAATTCAACCTAGCACTGCTCAGAGCTCTCCTGTTTCTCTACTTAGCCCAAAACAAACGTTTCCCAATGCTGCTAGAGCTTTCCCTCTGTTCTGCAGAAAGCAGACACTGGCACCTGCTGACTGAGGGTGCACACTGCAGCAGCAAGGGAACAATGAAAATATTCCTTCTGAAATGAAAACTAATGCCATGAGACCCAAAAGGCATAAATCATTCCTAGAATCATGCTGCAAATAAAAAACAATGTATCTTTTCTTTGTACTAAAAATAAGTATATAAATGGCTAAATAAAAATCCCTCCAAATAGATGGTGAAGGAACAATGACAAGATTAGTTTTTTGTTTTGCCAGAAAACAACAATTCATTACTTTATTTTATTTGAAAGATAAACACAATCTTTGATCATTTTTTCTCTTTATTTTCCTGCACTCTTAAATTATCCTAAATACATACATAAATATATTAATCAAAAGAGTAAAATAAAAAATATGTTACATGCAAATTTAAAAGCATCACAACCTTTGAGGATTTATCTTTACTTGGTTTTACAGTTTGTCTTATTTAAAACTCTTATTTAAAAAAACAAGCATCATCCACCCTCACTTCCCCCATTACCTTGAAATACTCTTTTCTGATTTGTTTACTTCTCCTCCTTTCTTCATTCTGCCAGATTACTGGCTGTGTTTCTGGCCAGTGCTGCTCATCCACTGAATCCTTCTGGTTTTCCAGTGGCTATAATAGTCAGAAATACTTTTATGTAAAATGTAAACATCCCTCTTGTGTATTAGCACAAATTAGTATGAACTACAATTGTTAATTGTTTGCCTGCCTCAATCTAGCTTTATGACCTGGAAGTTTAACAGTCTTAATGGTGATTCTGGTAGAAACCACTTTTTTTTTTTTTCAAATTCTAAAACATATTTCACAGAGGAAAAAACCTATGAAATAGTTCTTCAGAAAGTAACACTTTTCAGCATTGAGACTAATTCTGTAGGCAGGTTAGGAAACCACCACAGGTTGCCAAAAATACACCAGTTTCAAGTGTGGTCAGCCACTAGCACATCTAATTTCTCACTGTGAATATTCATCACACAGAGAAAGGATGGCTGCAACAAGACAGTTGGAGTAGTTGTTGACTGTTTCTATCTAAAAGATTATACATCCCAACAAGCTGGAAGAGAAATCTCTCTTTCAAAGCACTGCATTATGCAATACATACTGAGGAGACAGCTAAAGTAGATTGATTCTTAAATAATAATAAATATATATGACTGCCTACTTTATGAAAACTGTAAGTAGACAATCGAAATGGACTGTTTCCTAAGGGTACCACAACATTTCTGTTTCTTCTTGCAAGATATGAGGGCCTTTAAAGCAATTGCAGATAACTCACAGATTGAAATAATAAAGTACTCTTTAACTGGAATTTTGTCATATCATGCAAGCTTCTCATTGAGGTATGGGAAATGAAAGGCCTACATAATTCAACCCATCTAGAAGCTGCATCTAAAAACCAAACTGAACATTATGGTGAGGCAATACCTTTATATGCAAAGACATACTAAACCCAAGAAAGTAAAATTTATGCCTCATTAGTTTCAAGACCTGAAAGCTGGTACCAGGTACTCCATTACAAACAAGTCAAACTGAGGCATAAGATCTCCAAAGGGTTTACATTTTCCACCACAATTAAGATATAAAGCAGGTACCAGGTACTTTTAAAACAAAAGGCTTCCATTACAAACAAGTCAAACTGAGGCATAAGATCTCCAAAGGGTTTACATTTTCCACCACAATTAAGATACCTTCAAGAACTACATGTATAAGCAACCATACAAATGCATAAAGTATTCTGCCATAGAGACAAAATCAGGGAAACAACAACAACAAAATCATTTCAATATAAAGCCACCACATTTACAATTGAATATTTACCTGCCAGCTGTATGGGGACACTGAGGAATTCACTTCATTTGTTGAAACACTAAAAAGTAAGATGAAAGGCATTATGAAGCACACTACTTTTTGTGTACTTTAAAACAAGTTACTTGAAAATATCAAAGAAGTGGCTTCTCCACAGCACTACAGTATTTTTTTGCCATCTGTAAAAGATGTCATAATGTGGCTTAAAAGTATGACCATTTAACTAAAATATGAAATCATATTTCACTCTCCATTAACAGAACTTGACAATGTGTCTTTGACACAACAGTATTTTATTCACCTAAAACTTCTTTTGAAATTTTTAGTTTGTTTTGGTTTTAAGTCTCAAAACTGCCTGTTTCATTAACAAAAAAAGTAAAAATTTAATTCTTCCTGGATTGCCCTCTAATAAAGAAGCCTAACAGAGGTGTACACTTGAATAGTTGACAGCAACTCACAGAGAACCTGTGGTAAGTAAGCAAGGCCTGGAAGGTTTCAGGTAACAGCTGCAGCATGAGTGTCACAAGCACAGGACATGTGTGCAGCCAGCTCTGCAAAACCACAGGTACCACAGAGAGGGGAGACAGCCCAAGTAGGATGTGTCACACTGAAGGAGCTGAACTGGGTCAAGATGCTCCCCTGAGGTGCAGCTGAACTACAGAGCCATGGCACAGAGCCATTCCCACCCCACTGCTACCCAGCACCACCAGCTTTTTTCTCCCCATGTGGGTCTGGACATTTCCCAGTTCCCTAAAAACAAGGCTTTGGGTATTTCTGATATTGATAGTTTCTGGGTTTGTTGTTGTTGGTTTGGGTTTTTTTGCTTTGTTTTGTATGTGGGTATTGTGCTTTTTCTTTTTTACTTCAAAGAAAAAGCCTAAGCACAGCTCCTGCAGACAGTGGATTCCTCAGTAACACACCCTCCACAAACAATAAAGGTGCTGTAGGCTGCACTCCCAGCAAAGCTTTTCCAACAGCTCTTAAGAGCACAAAAGGACTGTCAAGGAGGAAAACGGAGATGCCTGAGCACAGTTCCAGGGCCACCCTGTGTAACACAGGATAAGACATCTGCACAGCACCATCGGCTGTGGGAGGAGCTACAACCTTCCCCACTGGAACTGGAGCTCTGAAACATAAATGAATTGCTGCCATAATCAAACCTACACATTTGTTTTTGTATGACATCTACTTTTCTAAATGCTCAGAAGAACTTTTTTTTTTTTGATCTGAAAGAAAGAAGCTCAAGAATAGATTACTCTTGTAGCTTCAATTTCATCATGAGCTTTTAAAAGCATTATGACAGAAGATGGCAGTAGTAACACAATAAACAAAAATGAAAGTAATAAAAGATTGAAAGCTGTGATATATTTAAGTATATCAGTACCATTTTTCAGATTCCATTGGCTGCTTTGGCCTGTTCCTTGTGTTTACTGAAACTGAATGATTAAGAAGCCTAGGGAAAAAGAAAGGTATTTAAAACAATTTTCTTAGAATGTGTTACTTTCACTGCATCACATTTCCTGTAAATAAAAAAGTTTTGAACATGAAGTGGCACCTTCCATAAAACTAGAATGTGTGTGTACACATATGAAATCCAAGCCCATTCCTGCTTCCATTTGAATTAAGAGTATAATTTCCAGCTCTTGAAGTATTTCAAATTCTGTATTTTAAGGAAGCAAACCTTGGTGGTAACTCAAATCAAAATGAAGTCTCATCTTATTTTTCTCCCTAAATAGATACTATCTCAACTGATCTCACACCTGTGTAAAGTGATGCTGCTCTCAACACAAAAGACCCCACTGTTCCCTGAGATTAGAACACAAAAAATAGCCAGCTAAAGCAGACTAGAAAGGATAGAGACAGACTGAGCACAAACAAGTCACTCAGGAAGGGCAGATGAGAAGGTGGCTGAGCACTGCAAGTGCAAAGGAAACGTAGGTAAAAAGGTGAGGTGGAAATTGAGAAACACAGACTAAGAACAAAATAAAAAAAAAATAATGCAGTTTAATGGAAATTCCATTTTTCTAAATGATAAACAGAAAAAAAAAAGCCTAAACTTAGATTCAGAAAGGTGTTTTTATCTGGAGCAAAGACATACCACATGTGTGTGTGTGCAGAGGAAGATGATACGATCTACTATGGATGTTTTAAGTGTTAGAAATAAAATTATCAGTAACACTTAAAACTAAATGTTTTCAAGTAAGCATCACCTTGAACTTAAGTGAAAAATTCTGAACTCTTGAAGGTAGCAATATTACACTTTGACACTGACTTCATGTGCAGAAGTGTGATGGAAGTGTATGTACACAGAATTATATTGAGAACTAGAATGCATTAAGAATCAGAACACAACCAACTATTCCATGGAAGAAAGTAAAACAGTAGGCCCCTTTTTATATTTCTTTACCATTACGTAATGCAGCACAGCCATTAACTTTATATGACTGATGATTTTTCAATCAAACTTCTCTGATTACTGTGATAACTCTGAGCTCAGTAATCTCATTTGCAGTATAAACCTCTCATTGTGTGACCCTCAGTTTAATGGGATTATGAGAAGTTAAGCCTGTAAACCTGTAAATGTCTGTAAAAGTTAAAGCCTGTAAAAGTTAAGCCTGTAAATGCCTGCTGGACTCAGTCTGTAGCATCTGCTTCCTCTATTTTGTGTTCAGAAACTAAGTTTAGAGGGGGCATTCCAGAATTAATTGATACTACAGCCTGAAAAAACTGTAAAAAAAAATATTCAGAGCATGGGTTATCAATCTAGAATATAAACATGCTTTTTAAAAGTCATTACTTTTTCCAGAGAACCCCCATAGAAACTAGCTTTGTTTTCAACTGAAAGCAATGAGAAATTCAGTGGGAATTTGTAGCAAACAACAATTAGAAGTAAAGAAAAAAATTAGACTCAGCTTGATGCAACACTTGCACTACAACTGACATTGTAGTGTAAATGCAATGATTGTATATACTACAGGCTATTCCTTTTCTATATTTATTATATGAAACACAAGGAAAAACTATTCAAGCTAATTCTAGCATATATATACATACACTTTTCAGCTGCTTTTCACCATTTCTGTGCAACATGTATATAATTAATGACTGAGTTCATAATGAACTAAAATTATTTATACAAAGTATATTCTTATACTTTCTAAAACAAAGCCAGTAATTTTTGAAAGCTCCTGTTTAAAAACTAAAGAACATACATGAGAAAGTAACAGCAAGTTCAGTATGTGACATCTTGCAAGCCCAGTTACAGAAATCTCAATTTCCTGTGGAAGAACGAACTTGAAAGCTTTTAACTAAAGAAAATAGTGAAGAAAATTAATCTGAATCTACTAAATTGCAGACAATTGTCAAAATAATTTGTTCAGCTGAAAGAGGTTCAGGAAGAATCACTGCAGGCACATTAATTACTGTCTTCCAGGAAATGCAATGCAAAGCAGAGTACGTAACATGAAAGTAGAAGTAGTGAGTTCAGAAGTTACACTCAAGTGTGGTGTTGATGGTCCACCAATAATTTCAGCAACTGCTGCCTTTCATGCCATCACTTATTAAACCCAAATCTTTATTGTATAGGTCAATTATCAGGCCAAATACTGATGATCTGACTGATTCATGAACTAAGAACTTGCATAGGACACCTGAGCTAGAACTGCAATTAATTTCCAACTGATGATTCCTACAAACCACACCAATTCTGTTGTTACAGAGGTAGAACACAAACTAATCCTCTGAAAGGGTTCCAAAAGTCACGCAATTTAAAAAACCTAAATTACTCAACACCACATATTTATATATTCTACTTCTATTTATATATTCTACTTCTATTATGCAAGCACAGCATCTACTCCAAAGTGCTTGACCAGGTGAGAAAGACAACGGCGAGACCAACAAAGATAATAGAAAATATTTTCTCAAGTTTCAGGATTTAAAGAGTGGAATCTCTTCTCAGCAACTTATACTTTCAGATTTTTTGCAAACATAACAATGATTAACAGACATAAATGAAGTGAAAATGGTAGTGTTATATTAAGGTTAGCTATCTTCAAGTTTAGACAAGCAAGTACTACCCTGAATCTCTAAAGTGTAAAAAGACACTAGAAATCCTGTGCAGTGAGACAAAGATGATTTATTTTCAGCTCGTTCCAGAGCAGTCCACTCCCTTCACATCTGGCTCTGCTTTGGGACTGAAGCTGTGCTCTTCTGGATTTGGACAGTTTTAGGAAATCACTGCTGCCAGGTAAGAACCCAGACTTAATTTTGATGCAAATTCAAAGAGCCTTATTTGGAACCAATGAAAATTAATTAATCTAAAGTACCCTACTATATTTTGAAAAAGACAAGGAGTACCCAGACTAAGTTACAGAGCTTCATTTTATAAGGCAATAAAGTCTGAAATCACTTCATTCAACACCTACATGTTTGAGTATAGTCTACGCTATACTCCAAGTTTTGTATATTACAAATACTTCCACCATGGGTCAAATGCAAAACAAATTATCTCTGACAACAATCACTTTAAAACCAAAGTATCAAACAAACAACACAAAACCACCAAACAAATAAAACCCCAAAAAACTGAAAGCACCACTTTGCATGAGATACTATATCTGCGGTTGTAATACTTAAAAAAAAAATAAAAGCCTTTAAGGTTCGGGCTCAAGTGTTCTTTGAAGAATTGCCTAATTAAATATTTTTCTTAATATTTAATCCTAAAGAATAAAGAATATATTGCAAACTAGTTTTGATAGTAAAACATCTTAGGCTAACTCAGCCAATCCCTTAACTCTGGGTTTGCTCAAGAAATGGCCAAGAGCATTTCTTTTGTCCACACTTTAACTCTTTATACCTTGATGCACGTCCTGCCGCCCTGGTCCTCTGGAAGAGCTTTTCACTGAATGAAGTTCTATAGCTTAGTGGCCTTCGTCTGTATTCACATTTCATGCACACCAAAGCCAAAGACGGAAGGAGGAAGCAGGATAGGTTGATGGGAGAGGACAGGGAAGTCATTAGCATAGCAAGCAAAAGGAGAGGAGACTGCATAATATTACAAAAACATACACTGAACAAACAGAAATGCGATTAGTAAGGAGTTATTTTGTGATGCTTAACTTCCCTGAGGATTCTGTTCACTGATTGACCATATTTTCCACAAATAAGCATATATACATCTTCACTAATGCTAAATAATATTCTTATTGCCAGTTAAAAAACACCATGGATTCAAAATCAGGGCTAAATTTTCTATTAGAGGAAATTTGAGCTCATTCACCTGAAGATACATAAGCAAACGTTAAAACAGAAATGCTAAACTAAGAAATAAAACGTAAGAAGTATTAAGATTGCACATTTGCATAACTGAAGACAAAGCAGAACAATTAGCAAGACCAGTGCATTAAAGACAAACAACACATGACAAGTAAAATTCAATTTGCAGTACTTCAGAAGAGGAGTGGCTTGGCATTTTAAATGATTAGATAACCAGGAAATATGTAATCAAACAAGAGCCTCCTGCAACATAAATAACTATCATATAAAAATCTAATATGAGAAAAACACCCTCATTCTCTCATCCTTAATAGGAGAAAATGATGCATTCTTGGCCTTATTTGCAGTACTTTAGTACTGAGAATACACTAGCATTAAGATTTCATTCCTATTTCTCTCCTCCCTGTGAACAACCAATTATTGAATGCAGGGCTTGGAGTTCTAAGCAAAACCTATTTTATCTTTCATACATGCACACTACTGTTACTATATTTACCTAATATAAAATGCTGGTGAATTTTTAAGACCCTGCAATTCATAGTACTGGGATCTCAGTTTCTCTGAGGGCTTCATGTGTATTTCTTAAAAGCAAAGCAGCAGAATCTCATAATTACACACAAATTTCAAAGAAAAGAACATAGCATTAAAGTTGGTATGAACTTGCATCCATTACTGTGGGATACTGAATGAGTGTTATGAACTATTTCAGTTAATGAACTACTATTAAATACAACTTTCACCTCCCAGAGGAGCTTACCCTAGAAGTACCTTACAGCATTTGCCTGCGGAAAAGAACAGAAACTGTTCCTACACCAGCTGGGCCATTTCTATGTGACTCGAGCTATTCCTTCCTGTTCTTCATCTCACACAGTTGCTAACTTGTTCTATTACATTCCTTTAATCTGCTGCTTGTTCCATGGCTCCTTTTCAAGAACTGCTCTGTTGAGATGCCCATAACGAAGCAGAGAAAGGCAGGCAGCTGAAATGATTTATTTTTATCCATAGATATTGTCATTTGACAGAATAATATTCAAGCAAATTTCCCCTTCAGTCCACAGGATATTGGCTGAAGGAAGTACAACCTAAATTAGCTTGTATCTGAATAAAGATAACCAGTCATAAACAAACTGTAGGGAGGTTGTGTAATTCAGACAAGAAACACAGGACAGGTATCTTGACAGAGTCTGTCACTTCACTCCTTAGTAGCTGGACAAAACTGTTCTCAAAATAAGTTGTCAAAAGCCTCTGGGTATAAGAGAGGTTAAAGAACAAATTAATTGTAACACAAGTTATTTTAACTAATATTGTTATACCTGTGTTTTTGTTCTTGCTGCAACAACTGAGCTGCAATTTTTCTCAAGTCAGTCACTTCTTTGAGTTCATCATCATCTTCAGCCAGCAGCTGTTCTTTCTGAAGTCTGAAAAATTAAACATTAGTGACCTGCCTGACTTCAGTGAAGCAAGAAACAGAAATGGCTCATTATGGCAGTAACTAAGCAATGCTTCCTGTAAGTTTATCCTCTGACCAAGAGGAACACTTTATTCAGTATGAGAATTCTTTCCTCCATATGCAAGGAGCTTAAAAAAAACCCCACTATCACCCCTGCCACTACTAGTAAAACCAACTCAAAAAAGATGAAGAAGATTTACCTTTTTTCATCCCCCCAGTCCTCATTTTGTTCAGTTTTCTGGGATTTCTCAGGATGCTTTCCCCGTTCCTTCAACAAAATGGAAAAAAAAAAAAAGTTAGAATTTTATTAAGGCAGAAAAAAAAAGAAAAAAAATCAAGGCTTCTGAACAGTTTTTCTTTTGTCAGTCTCTGGTACCTTGACATAGGAGAGCAGGGGGCCAATCTGTGCATCTCCCTGCTCAGGAAGAGCTCCCTCCTCAGCGTTGGGATCAATGTAGTCAAATGCCTCTTGGTCTAGGGAGGATTTATGAAGAATAAGAAAAACAGCTCTCTTGATCAAATGTTATTCTTGAGAGAAATAAGTACTTATAAAAAATGTCAGATAAAGATAAAACATAGAAATTGTGCCTTCCTAAGCTAGCAATAATTTTTTTTCCTTCCTCTCAAGCCTTTTCTGCTTGTGATTATTACATTGTTTTCTGAACTGATGAAAATAAAATATCAACACATGATCCTGTCATTTTGTGCCATTTTTCTTACATTAGATTACCTAAGCAAAGTATCTCTGTTACCTAAAACAACAAATGCACTACTGGCATTACCTTTCTGTGGATCGAGTTTACTTCCCAAGACGTGATTGTCATTCCTTAATGTCTGTTCCCTTGTTGATTCTGACACCTGGGAGTGAAGGCTGATTGTATCATCATCAGATGGCTGCAAAGACACTCACATTTAGTGCAGAACTGACATGGAAATGGTGTTAGTATATGATTTCCTACATTCTCATCATATCATATTAATTAGAATCAACCTTAACCAGAAAAATTAAAAGAAATATATAAATAATTTGTGTCTGATATGGCAGTCTAAAGGTTTAAACTCAACTGTAAACATACTGAAAGAATATTAAATGCAACTTACTGAGGTATTTCTCAAATGATATAAAGTACAAGGGAAGAAGTTCCAAAAAAACAGAAATTACAAATTCTACAGTGAAAAAATACTCACTTCTGTAGTGGACAACCTTTTATCCCCATTATCACTTCCAATGCCAGAGTCTGGTCCATGGTTTTTATTGGGATAAAAGTCTTCCATGCTACATTAAGAAAAATAACACACAAAATAGCCACACAAGAAAGAAAGAAACAGTAGTTTTACTTTCCATAAGAAAATAAATATCCTTTTCAAAATATGTTCTCTATACTCAAAAACTCCACTACTCACCTGTCTGTGAGTGGCTGGGAGGGGATTCGTTTGCCTAATGATGGAAGATCTAAGGAATCTGGTTTTTTATCTATTCTGAGGCACGCCTGAATACTGAGGAATTTAAATATATGTACTTTGCCTTTTAAACATATCTGTTGGGAAACACAACACAGGAACAAAAAGAAGACTTAATTACACAGCATGTCTGCTGAGAATACACCCCAAGAAATAACTGCAGCACTGCATTTACAGCCACAACACCCCAAAAGAAGAAATACACAAAATACAGCTAAAAAAAAAAGAAAACTTGATTGGTATAACTTAGAATAGCTTCCTCTAAAATCCTAATGCAATTTTCAGTACTTGTGTGCTTTAATACTAACCTGTGCTGGTGGTATCTGCATTGGATTGTTATCCAAAACTATAACTTGTAAGTGACGTAACTTTCTGTAACAAATGGGAATTTCTGTAATTTTATTACAAGAAAAATCCAGCTTTACCAAGGGAAGGTCTCCTAATTCTGCATTCAGGGAAAAAAAAAGCAAACAAACAAAAAAAAAAAGAATCAGTTATCTTCTTAACACTTTGCCTAATTTGCCTACATCAATGGAAAGAAGATGAGTAGCTCACCATCTGGCAACATATGGAGATTATTTCTTCTTATGTTCAATTCTCTAAGTGACTGCAATTTTCCTATTTGCTGGGGAAGAACTTGGAGTTCATTACAGCTAATATCCTAAGAAAGATATAATTAATAAATCAACTGAACATCTTAAATGAAATTACACAGAGGAATACTGTGATCAAAACTATTATAAAGCATACTATTAAAAGAAAAGAAATCTGAGAAAAGAAACCAAACTATCTTGGATTTTCCATGGACAAGGTGTACCATAACAGATCTTGCTGTTTTTTAAAGTGTTTAGTGATTCCAGAAATTTCATTCAAGAAGTTAAATCAATGAATGATGAAATACTGGCTTTGAAATGAATACTGTAGCCTAGGAATGAGGAGCTCCTGGTACAGTTCCCAGAGCTGTCAAAAACTTCTTGCGCTATTGCTGGCAATTGACTGGCATTCTGCTCCTCTTCCAAAAATTCTTTTTCCTCAATAAACCTTGAACCACCCCATGAAACCAAAAAAGAGCAGGCAGTAGCAATAGCAGGCTCACCAGATTTTTGGATACAAGCACTAGAGGGTGACAAAGCTGCATCAAGTGAACACAGACTACAGCTATTTCTGCCACTAATTTAATATTAATTTATGTAGAGCAGAGTGATTGAATAATCACAGAGCCTTTCCAGCCTTCTTATGTTCTATATAGGTATAGCACAGGTACTGGAATGAAACTCTCTACTATGTCCTCAATCACCATCAAGCATACATTCTGGGTTTCACAACCTTGAAAAATAAACCAAAAAAATCAATAAAACACGGTAACCGAATTTAAATTTTGTAGTTCTATATTTAAAATATATTAATACTTTATTATAATGAATATATGAGATATATATATAGATAGATAATGCTTATATATATAGTGCTTATAAGTGTACTTACTACAAAGATTCACAGTTGCACTTACCAACTCCATTAGATCTCTCAATTTTCCAATTTCTTCTGGAATGGAGACCAGTTTGTTATTGCTGACAACCAGAACTTTCAGTGGAAGATCAAACAGGTATTTTGGCAATGTTGACAAAAGATTCCGACTTGAAAGCAAGAAAAAGGGACAAGAAAGGTTGAATTATAATCTCATATAGCTCTCAGGGAATCTGAGCTTAGTATTGTACAACTTTTCTCCCACCCCAGATCACATTCTCCACCTATTACAATTTCATCTACAGTGTCCATCACAAATTCCTTATCAGATACAGCCTATTTCAGGTATATGAATTTTAGATCCCCATTTTACTTAATGAAATAAGGATGTACTAGGGCAGAATCTAACACCAAAATGTACAGAGAAATCTGTTAAAAGAGCTAATGTTTGACACTTGCTTTTGTCCTGCTGGTACCTTCAGATGAACCAGCTGATCTGACAGTCTACCAAGCCAGAACTTTATACTGTTTACATTGCTTCTCATGTCATGTTGTTGGGACCCTCCTGAGCTGTCATAAAAAGTCCTAAACTTTTAATTATTTTGCTGAGCAACAGGCTGGAAAGTAAGCCTTAATTAAAATGTTTTAAAAGGTTTTGGGGATTTAAATAGCTCTTAACTGAGAAAACTGTTTTGGATTTGATGCAGCTAATATCAGAAACAAGGAGTACTGTGGAAAACAGGGTCAGGAGAGTTTTCTAGATTCCCTCACCTTCCAGAGCTCATATCCATCTTCTGTTCTAGTGAGAAAATCCAACCATATGTTTTCCAAGTTTAAAAAGAGCAGTACAGCAGTGGATGTAAATAATGTGCAAAATGAGCAGGACTTTCTGGCCAGAGTAATTTAGCCTCTTGATAGCAGCAAATTTCTATAGCTGTGGTTCCTGAACATTGTCTGTCTACATAACATCAGAAACAAAGAAAACTGCAAAAACAATGACCTGATGAAGCAAAATGCCAACTCTCTAAGGAGATATGTTAAATAAAGACCAAAACCAACCACCATTACTCACCTAATGTTAAGGTAGGTAAGCATTTGCAGGTTTTTAATAGATTCTGGAATAGACTTGATGCAGTTGTGATACAAATTTAAAGTTTCCAGTGGTGCAAACAGCCAGACATCAGGAGGAATTTCAGTAAATCTGTTCTTTGAAAGATCTAGAAGCAAAGAGAAAAAAAAATTCCTTTTTTAGTCAAGACTTTCCCTGCAGTAAGAGATAAAAGTACCCACTGTTATTCTTGTCATGCTCCTAAAAATTAAGGTGTTGCAAGAAGTGTAAAATAATTCAGTTTTACCAGATGCTACCGCATATAATTAATACACAAAAGAGCCTTAAAATACTGAAAGATTATTGCTCAATATGCAATTACAACAGAAAGTAGAAGAGTGACAGGAATTCAAAAATTCATTTCCTACTACATAGTTACAGTTACAATGACGCTGAATATCAATTATGATTGTCCCTCCTCTATCAAGTCTTTGTTCTGTGCAATTTTTGGGTTCCTTCCCCTCCAACTCTAGGCACAACAGTAAATCAAGGCAAAACCTCCAAGTTATTTCTCCTGTTTGACAGCATTAGAATCCAATGTCATTGTACAATGTATCTGCAATGCTAAAGCCAAGTTCCCAAAGCATCCTTACACAGTAACTGATTCTGCAGCTACACATTTGTAACTGAACTAAAAAGAGGATAAAGTTGCATAAACCAATGCCACAGTTATTTATGTATAAAAGTCAAGATGCAATTTAACCTGGGCTAAAAGCAGAAAGAGGAGAGATCTTTGACCATGGAAACACAATTCTTGAGCTAAAGTTATTCTGACAATGCATGACTGCATTATGCAAATCTGCATGCAGGAGTTATGACAAAACAGAGCATTACCAAAATGCACAGCATCTCTGACTATATGAAACCTTGAAAAGAACCAGAAAATACAAATGAAATGTGACCCAAGAATCCTGGAAATTATCAGCTAAACTACCAAAGCCGGTGCCATCAAAAGTCCACCAAACTACCTTGGAAGAAAGAGATATTTACTTGAGAACAACTGCCTAGTCTTCTGAAAGGAACTCTGGCTGCCAACCCGAGACATTTCAAAAGGATGTGGTTTCTCAGAAATGCTGAACAAACTCTTTTAACAGAGAAGTAATACAGATCCCTTGCTATTTCAGGCTTTAGTTCTCGATTTTTAACACTCACTGGAATAACTGTTTCTGCTTAGCTCCCATTACATTATCACTGGAATGAACAGTTCTGCAAAAAGTCTAGAAAAGGGTTGGAAAATTGGCTCCAAGTCATTGTCAGGTTCAAAGAGAGCTCAACAACCTGAAGTTCAACTGGCAAACCAGCTAGGAGCAGCATTTCTCAGGGCCAACACTGGGATCAATATTGCTTAGCTTCTTCATCACCAACCTGGCAAACAGGGCACAATGTGCCTCCAGGAAGTGCAGAGACAGCACCCAGCTGGAGGGATGGGATGAGAGCCAGGACCTCCCCTGGCAGACACCCAGAGTGAATAAAGGCTCACCTGAGGCAGATCCCTGCTCACAGCAGGGAGAGCTGCAGGACAGCAGGGCAGAGGAAAGCTGTGCAGAGCACACCCCCTGATGCTGCACACAACAGGCTGAATGCAGGACACCAGGGTGCTGGGCAGAGGGAATGGCCTCCACTGTGTGCTGCAGGTGACCAGCAAAGAAAATAGACTGGTAAAATGAAACACATCTATCCACTGCTGATGCAGAATTCTGCAAACTCTACCTCCAAGAGGCAGAAAAATACGTTCCTAGGTTGAAGGAGTGGCATTCCTAATTAACTGTGAGAAAAATGCAATTAAGTTAACTAAAACTGAATATCTCAAAAAAAAACAACTGAACATCTCAACAAAACCTAAAAAGCTTATTTTAAAAATAAGCATGCTTGAGGAAGTTTTCAAAACTAGTGAAGTTCATTTTCTGTTTTCCACTACATCAGTTTTCAAAATGCTACAGAAAAATGACAGCTTTCACACGAAGGTTTTCTGCGAAACCCTTTTTAAACAAATGCTCTCTTGTTCTTATATTCAGCAGAGTGTGACACCTGCATGCACAAGAGATGCCCCCAGTTTTATTGCTGGCCCAGTTGTACAACCTCCACCACATGCTGAAGCCTTTAGTACAACTCAATTGCAGAAAAAAATGAAACTAGCTTTAAGCCTCTTCCTGATTTGATTTTATCAGCAGCTGGAAAGGTGACTGCAGGCTGGTACAAAGATCTAGTCCACAAAAGAAATGACAGAATCCCACACAACTGTCACTGTTCCAGAAGCAGCACTGTAGACCTGAACAAGAAGGCTCAAGGGCACCACAAAAATTTTGCTACTCTATTTGCTTGAACCACACTTCAACCACACATCTTGTGGTTAGTTAGAAAGTCCCAGGTTAAAAACAACTTTGCTATTTCTTCTGCAGAAATAAAATCTAGAGGCAAGGCCAGACAACAAGCAGAGGATGCACCAATTCTCTCCTCTGGACGAGTGGACCAGGGGTGTAATACCCCACAGGAACATAAACCAGCTGTGGTTCCCAGCCTGGCCTGACACAAATCACAGCAGCACAGTCTGGCTGGAGCCCCTCAGTGTGCCCTGGTACAGAACCCACACAGCTGCACATCAAAATACGTACCAAGGTCACTGTATTTGTGTATTACTGCAGAAACCACTTCTCTGGAAACAATGCCTTTGAAGACACTGTGGGGCAAAGATTACACTTTTTTATTATGAAACCTAGAATTTCTATTAGAATAGGAAATGACACCCACTATCTCTCAACAATAAAATAAAAAAGGTAAATAAAGAGATGGGAGGTAGCATGACTTCTATTCCAAGCAATTTTTCATTCCATCATTGGAAAACAGCACTAAAATAGCTCCAGGGGTTGGTCCAGATTTTTATGAAGAGAAAGATTTGAGTATCTACAGTTTTTCACCCTATTCTCATATTGAATGTACTTGCAACTTTTTAAAACCAAGTAAAGCTATTTTTAACCAAACTAAAGGATGATTTCTATTCCAAAAACATTTTCATAACAAGCAAGAAGTTTAGGAGATAGTATTGCCTATTATGGTAAATGAAATGTAGATGTGAAACATATGTCATTTAGGTACTTTTTGAAGACTAGTAATACAACAGATGACCAAGAAAATACAGTCTGAAAAAAGGAAGGAACTTTAGTAATAGAGTGCTCCTCTATTAACAAGACAGCTTCCATCTCACCTGACCGCAGGCTGCTAGCACTTGAGGATGGCTTTTTAAGGGCTAATGGACTGGCGGAGCAAGGAGAGCTGGTAAATGCAGAAACACAGATGATTTAGGTTGACAACTCCTCTAGAAGAGAGATTATAGGAATCCTTTGCTTAACCAGTTTAGACTAGAAAACTCTCAGTGGGAGCGTTTTGTGAGGACTAACCAGAAGACACTACCCATGCCTGCTCATGAATCACAGGGTATTTCAGTACATTATCTCTGCAGGAACAATGAAAGTGAGAAGTACACCATTACTAAGGGTAAATTTGAAAGAGGAACTAGAAAAATATGAAGAAGTTGGTTGCCCTTTAGTTTTCTTTTAACAGAAAAAGTAAAGTCTCCAGTTACTATAAGATGGTGATTAAAAAACAATTTATAGAAAGATCAAAAGGAAAGAATTCTAGGAAATCAGTCGGGAAGGGAAGCTATAAGAAGTGAGAAGTTACCTTCTATCAATTTAAACCATGATCAAGAGGGAAAACAAAAAGCTCAAGCTGTCAAGTTGTGCAGTGTGCAGCAGCAGTGTGCAGCCAGGTATTTAAGCAGTATTACCATCACATTTGCCTTGGTTTTGCACTTTTCCCTAAGGGTGCAGTACTGCTTCCCATCAGGAACATGCTGATACAACACACTGGCCTTTTATTTAAACCAGTACAATTCCTTTTATATTCACATATTACATACGCTACATGTTGAATTTTAAATACAAGGCTCAGCTAGGAAATTTACATTGAACCTCACCTTGATATTATATTTTTAATAAAAATATGTTTCTGATCCAAGATATTGGTGTTAGGCTTATGCTCCAAAACTGTATTAAGAAACTAGATCATAAAACCCCACATTCCTCATCCCACAAAACCCAAAATTGCTCTCCTAACTCATCATAGATAGATTTTCCTAGCCAGCTGTTCTAGCAATGCTTTAGCCTAAGCGAAACAAAATCCAAGAACAGTTGTAACTGTAAAATTAATCTTACAGAAGATAAAACAGATGCTAAAAAACAAGTGTTCAGACCTGACCCCAAAGACCGTCTTTTAGTCATGAATAAAAGAGAAACATGAACATGAATCTCAGATCACCACACAGAACATGGGTGAAACTCATTTGTCTGTCAGATGCAAGATGGTTCTGGAGAAGGAAAAAGTGGCCTCAAACACTACAGAAACACCTACATGTGGTATCTGCAGGAGGAACAAGCTGTCAATGTCCACAAACCACTGACTGAAGAAAGCTTGGTTAAACAAACAATGAAAGGGGTTTGTTCATGCTAGGTGCCATTTCTGTGGTTAGTCACAGCAGACAGATCTCTTCCTGCCTTGGTTACTTTCTCAACTAACTGGAGAAGGAGATTCAGGAGAAAGGAACTCTTCAGCTTCCCAAGCTCACCTCAAACGGGACGTCCCTCTAGCATTTCCCTCAAACTCTACACATCTACTTGTAGCTTCACAGTTTCAATCTTAATGCATGATGAGTGACAGAAATCTTTTAAAATTTCCCTCCAAATAAAAAACCAAACCTGAATAATTAAATAATAAAAATCAGAATTCTTCAGACTTACTTACGTTGCAAAATGAAGTACTGAACAATTAAAACACATCCAGATGTGTATCAAAACATTGATATAAACAGCCACTATTTCAGTTGCAAAGGAGACCAAAAATATCGAACTTACTGGCAAAGAATGTTCAAGAATTACAGCACCATAAATCTATGTAACTGAATTGCATATACAAATCAACATTTGCTCTCCAACATCAAGAGCAATGGTGAAGGACAACACAGAACAATCTGGGCACCCATCAGCTCTTATGCACAGTAAGGAAGCTGAGAATACCTGCCAAAACCCTGTAGCTCTCAGGAAACCACAA